CCTCTTATACTCCCTCCTCTCTCATCTTCTTCCAATGATCCACCGCACTAATCCCTTCATCAATGGCCGATCGCAGCACCTCATCGCGCTACCGCGGCATTCGCCCCCGCGGCGGCAAGTGGGTCTCCGAGATTCGCGAGCCCCGCAAGACCAATCGGATTTGGCTCGGCACTTACCCGACCCCAGAGATGGCCGCAGCGGCCTACGATGTCGCGGCGCTGGCTCTCCGCGGCGCCGATGCGGTGCTCAATTTCCCCGACCGCGCGCATACGAATATCGCTCCGGCGTCCACCAATCCCTCCGATATTCGGGCCGCGGCGGCGGCGGCGGCCGCGCGGATGGCCGCAGAGACTTCTCAGCCGTCGATGAATGAGGGGGGGTTTGTGGACGAGGAGGAGATTTTCGATATGCCGCAACTGCTGGTTAATATGGCGGAGGGGATGCTGTTGAGTCCGCCCAGGCTGAGCCCGCTGGGCTCCGATGAGTCTCCCGAGGTTTCTGAAGGGGAGAATCTCTGGCATTTTGATTAGTTGGGTTGATCGACTGGAATAAGGGGAGGCTGATTCGTATTGTGTTCAAGAATTGGCTTCAATAACAACATAAATTTAGGCTTGTTGATTTCTTTCTAGCAGGATTTAAGCTTCTTTGAAACATTTTTTTTTACGACTTCTTAAATCAGTTTTTTTAGTACAAAATTTAGAACTTTGTACTAAAAGCTGCTTTAAGAAGTAGTAAGAAACTCGTCTCAAACGAAACCTTAATTTGCTCTAAGGAGATCTATCAAGAAGTTCTCTTTGAATTTTGAGTGATTTTGATCGTAAACTTATAATTCCAGACTTCTTGATTGGAAACCTAAGCTCTCAACTAATAGGTTAAGATTATCTAAGAGTTGATATGATAGTGTAAAATATGCAGTAATCTTATATCGATCCATATATGAATGGAATGAATGATCTTTTTAAAGATTCGTAGTGTACTACTAATTGGAAAAAAAATATTAGTGGCAATATTATGAATATTATTTACAAGGAGGGAGTAGGAAGTTGTTATTGGTATGCTGTGCGTCGTTTATGCACTTATTTAATGCATATGGAATATTAAAATAATACAAGCTATAAATTTAAAAAACTGCAAATAATTCATAATATTCATAGCATATTTAAATATATATTATTAGTGAAAAAATATTTATTGAACTGATGACTTTATTAGGTGGGTTGTCTTATAATAGGCAATGTTATAAATATTCAGAAGAATTAGAAAGTCAAATGTTTACTTTAT